CAGGTTTATCTCTAATTAATTTCTGTTGAAATGCCTTTTCCAAGTTAGATACAAATCATTTAATGTTTTTCTAATTCTTCCCAGTTAATTTTGTCACATACCAATCTACAAACCTTTGTCTCTGTTTTACAATAGATAACATATTTTCATTATAGCAGCTAGTTGTTGTGGTTATTGTCTTAAAATACATAATATCCAACAATTTTATCAAAGAACACAAAATTTAATATAATTACTCAGTAATAATATAAAAATATATAAATACTTGTTTTTATTAATTGTTATACTTATTTACTCTGCAGAATTCTCTTTAATTTTGGAGTTAAATGATTTGGGAAATCAAATACAAGTTATACAGCAGATTTTATTAACATTTTTCCACTTACAATCTGCTGAATAGAAGTCAGTTTCATTGAAATGTAAACTACATAAAGTTTGTATTGGAACAGTTTTAAATCTTCCTTCGAACAGCATGCACCCATTTTAGCCTCTCTTATCTTTAGAGGAACCTAAATATTAAAATAATAGATGTAAATCTGTTTAAAATATCAATGAGTAAAATCATCAATAACACCATAATAACTTAATCACTAACTTTGAAATGACAAGCTTTCTAACATCACTAGAGCTAGCACAATTAAAGACTACAAAAATTACATTTTAAGCTTAACTGCACAGTAGGTACACACTATTTTAATTATTTTAAAACTTTGAGAACCAGAGGCAGAACAAAGTCAAAACGTTAAACGAACAACGAATTTAAAATGTATTGGTAATCAATTCATATACTATGTGTGATAAAAAGATAGCAACACCATTCTTATCTGCTGTCTTTTTCTAACACGCTATCTCGTTATGTTTACATTGGTCTTATGACTGGTGAGCATTCCAGTTATCATATAGAGTTCAATGATCATTGCACGTTATCGTCGTTATCATTAAAAGATTCGTCAAAAATATTGAAAAAATTACAATAATATCAATAATATAAAATTTAAACTAATATAACTAACAATAATTATTCATTGTTCAGATTTGTCATTATCATTAAAAACTTATCAGAAATATTGCAAAAGACAAAAGTATAATAATTTATATTAATATCATTATTCATTGTTTTGATTTGTAATATTTAACTGTGTTTTATTGGATTCGACATTCAAGCCCATTATAACGTACAGATATCAAATTTTCTGGATCCTCAATAGTGTTATTTCAGAATCGCTACTAACCTCCATACACAACATACAAGCCCTTACACACACGTAGCATTCGAAAATTTCGAACAGAATGTCAACTGTCGAGGTCATGAAGGACGATATCACGGATTGACAGGTCTGTACAATATTACAATAGCAATACAATACCATGAACAAAGGTCGCTTAAGACGATATCTGGAATCTAGATTGCATTCCTATCCAGAACTCAACAACAACTACTTACCAGCCTTAGCTACACTCGCCGAGATATTGATACGCGCGCAACATCAAATCTTTGTGCTCTAACATAAGTCGTATTGTAATATTGTATTCACGACCCTCCTGACCATCCGTTCATATACAGTTTTGTTGTAAAAACGCACTAACAGCATCAAAAAATGTTTCGAAAACGGGACAAAAACGATCAAGCTAACTACTTACGCCGTTTAAAGAAATTGAAACAAGTACGTATTTATATTTCAGAATATTAATATACATGATACCTAATCTAGGTGAGGATGAGCACTGGTTTCATCTCGCCGTTAACTGATAAATGTCGTTTATAACACGAATATAATTATATTATTAAAAGTGTATCACTTTTATTATTTCTTATTTAATTTATTTAATGGTTTATTTTTACATTTTGTTGTATAGAAGTTGAAACCGTACAGAGATAAACACACCATAGAATGTATAAGGGTGATCACTGGGTCATTCAAACTTAGAGAACATTTTGACAGCCTGAAAATGTTAACAGAGATCACACCTATCAGGATGTTAAAAAATACCTTCAAAATGGTGAACAAGATTAACTAAAATGGAGATTGCTAAACGTGAGCGCCGGCTTCTGACCTTAACAGCGGATGTGGCCGAAAAGGTGAAAAATATTGTCATTAACTCACCTAAAATGGCAATCAACAAAGTAAATCATGGTAACATCGAGTTGTCAGCATTCAATTTTAATACAATGAGTAATAATAACATCAGCTCGTCTTTAAATGATATCAACAAAGTGAATCATAGTAACGTTGAGTTGTCAGCATTCAATTTTAATACAACGAGGTACAGTAACATCAACTCACCAGCTATGGCAGTCAACAAAGATAGTTATGTTAACATTAACTCATCAGAAAATGATGTCAACAAAGTGAACCATAGTAACGTGAGTTATCAGCAATTTCAATACAATGAGTAATAGTAACATCAGCTCTTCTTTAAATAATATCAACAAAGTGAATCATAGTAAACGTTGAGTTGTCAGCATTCATTTTAATACAATGAGGTACAGTAACATCAACTCACCAGCTATGGCAGGTCAACAAAGATAGTTATGTTAACATTAACTCATCAGAAAATGATGTCAACAAAGTGAACCATAGTAACGTTGAGTTGTCAGCATTCAATTTTAATACAATGAAGTACAGTAACATCAACTCACCAGCTATGGCAGTCAACAAAGATAGTTATGTTAACATTAACTCATCAGAAAATTATGTCAACAAAGTAAATCATGGTAACATCGAAGTTGTCAGCATTCAATTTAATACAATGAATAATAATAACATCAGCTCGTCTTTAAATGATATCAACAAGTGAATCATAGTACGTTGAGTTGTCAGCATTCAATTTAATACAAGGTACAGTAACATCAACTCACCAGCTATGGCAGTCAACAAAGATAGTTATGTTAACATCAACTCATCAGAAAATGATGTCAACAAAGTGAACCATAGTAACGTTGAGTCATCAGCATTCAATTTCAATACAATGAATTACGGTAACATCAACAGCTCATCAGCAATGACAATTAATAAAGTGAATCGTGATAACATTGAATCGTCAGAAATTGTGATAAAAAAATTGAAACATATGCACATCCATGATGATGTATCAAAATGTTATGATAGACTATGAGAAATTTTCTTAGAATGTCTCACCTACCCGTGTTGTCTCTGTTTTATAGTCAGTTGTTTTTATTTAACTTTAAATTATTATTTATTAATAAATAAATTATGAACATTAATATTCAAACTAGCAAGTTAAATGAAAATTGCTGAACATTAATTTATTGTGTGAGGTACTTAGAGCTTTTAAAATGTGATAACTCAATATGTGGATCAGATGATTTCTCAAATTTTAATATAATGTGATTTTAGTTTTCTTACCTCATTATGACTGGTTAATTATTAATTAACATATTAAGTTTAGTTAATAATACAATGAATATGGGTAAAAATATTATAAGTAGTAAAATAATGTATTTATTTTTAAGATTTTTATATATTTTTAATTATTTTAGATAAATTTTTATACAAAATTAATTTAATGCTCAACTATAATTTTATATAATATTTTGATAAAATTTTCTTTTTTATTACACAGTATTGCTGTATGTTACATTTTTGTACACATGGTTTTTTTTTTTTTAATAACTGAATCAATCATATGACGTTTTGAAAATTTAAAAAATATATTTATTTATTTTTAATTATAAATTTTAAGCATATAATTTTACTAATAATAAAATCAACTTTATTTTTTTTTAATAGACTTTGGTGTTTTTTTTTCTAAAATTATTGTTGATAAAATCATCAATTTTAATTCATAATACATATTATCAACTGCAGTCCTTTGAAGTTAAGTAGATTCATTTAACAGTTTGAATTAAAATTAATTCAATTTACCAGAACTGAATATTTTTTTTTAATCTAAATAAAATTTCACTTATTTTTTATACTTAATGGGTTATAAAATTACACACAAAAACATTTTAAATTAGTTAAGTGCAAACCTAGTTCAGTATTTTTATTTTAACATACAATTATAAAATAAGTATTATTGTTGTATTATCATAAATCATCATAAAATAATTACTTTACATTTTTTTTTTTTTTTACAGTTACTTTTTACAATAATATAAATTTGAATTAATAATTAGGTAGCTAAAAAATAATAATGGTATTTAATTAATTAACTCAGATTAAGGAACAAAGGTACCTAAATTCATATTGTCTATTTATGAAAAGTAATTAATTAAGTATGATTATAAAACAATAGTACTAATTTTATAATTGTATGTAAAAATAAAACTATGAATAATGTTTGTCAAGTAATTAACTGAAAATTATTTACATTTTTTTTTTTTTTTTTTTTTGTATCATTTGATTACTGATTAAATAATTTAGTAAGGATTTGCAGAAATTATACAAAATAGTACAGTTATAGATGATAAAGTATATTTTCATTTGCTTAATGATGCTGATAACTAATTTCAGAACATTTTTTTTTTTTTTAATTACTACGCTATTTTCATTTTCAGAAATACAATAAATAGAATTTGTAACTTGTTCAATATTTTATAAAGCATCTATGAGTACCAAACCTGAAGTCTTAAGCTTTTAATTACTTTCAACAATAATCGAAAAATTTGTTTTAATTAGTTTAAGTTGATAATTATATTTGATTTAGTGAGAATTTGTTTACAGTTTTTAATGCTTTTTAAATCATCTTCTAGTAGGTTTTGAATGACATTTTAAAACTCTTTAAAATTATCTGCATAAAATATTGCCTATTCTATTCAAGCACTCCACCGTGTTATTATAGGTTGAGTAATGGTTTAGTAGATAACATTTCATGATATAATTGAATTCTATAAAGTACTTTCAAAATATCTTTTTTTGTTGTTAATTAAATTGTTTTTTCATGCAAAATATCCATAATCTTTTCTGTTATTTGAAGAACCTCTTAAAAGTAAAGTAAATAAATTAAAAGGTAAACAAAAATTAATTAATTAACATCATACTTTGAAAACTTATTTATTAATACATTTCATTTTGATAGTTTTTAATGTATTTTCTATTTTAAAGTGATGATTAATTGTTGGAGTATTTCTAAAATAGTCAAATCCAGATTTTTCAGAATCAAAAATACATTACCAATAAACTATAAAATTTATTGAATTACAATCCTATCTCAACTTGACGATGCGAAATAGTCGTGTCTGTCATTTATTAAACTTCATTATCATTATAATATACCATATTATATCATGTAATTCACTATATAGGTAAGGCTCAAGAAGCAAATTGTACTGAGTATACAATAATATTTAATGTTTTTATTTGATTATTTGATGCAGTGATGTCACCATACGACAGTATTGAGAATGCTGTTGAGCTATAATAGTTTCACAAAAGAATGTAGAGACATTCGTATAAGATAAACAATTATTCAGCATCTCGGGTAAAGTATAAATAAAAGCTGCTTTCCTAACATAAATTGATTAAACTTTCTAACAATTGTTTAATGTTCTACTTTTATAACTCTATAATGCTAGCAATACGTAACTGAACGAAGTACACCGT